AGTGTGTGTGCGTGTGTGTGTGCGTGTATGTGTGTGTGTGTGTGTGTGTGTGTGTGTGTGTTTGTGTCTCCTACCATTATCCCCCTCTCTCTCGGTCTCAAAAGCGGTCCACAATCCAGAAACACCAGGAATACTCAGAACATTTGAAATGCTCACTAGAACTAGAACCATTGTAAGCCTCCCTTCTCCACCCGTACCCTTTCAGGTCGGCCATGTCGTCTTTCTGAACCTGTCTCACAATTAATGACAGTTCAAATAGTATAATGTCTTGACCAGGCTGCATCCTTTTCACGTACCGTATTGCAAAACCTTTATCAGTAGACCAACCCATTTTCAGTCTTCTGAAAGTATGAGGTTAGGCGATAGAGTGAAGGAAGACGCAAGGATAGTCTCCGAACACTATCTGACTAGGGGTTTTAACAGAATACACAGACACACATAGACAGCCTAATGCACAAAAATGTACACACACAAAACAAACACACATCATTCTTTTCATTTCTCTTTGTTTTACTGTTACGGTATACTATTTATCAAACATACAGACCAGGGGCTCTCGTGGCCTAGAGGTTAAGGGGATAGCCTGCCATTCAAAGGTACCAGGTTTGAATCCGGGTAGCGACCGAAAAATTTTCTCACCCCCTCGCCTCCTTTGCCCCCTACTCGGGGCTCCTGACTCTTTCTGCAGCCGTTCTACTGCTACTCCTTGGCTCCCTCTTACTGCTGTCTTTCAGCCACACCCCTGATCTTCTGATAGGAAATATCTACACCTAGCCTTCTCGGACAAGGGCGAAAAATCTCGGAGGGCCCGAGAGCAAGTTGCGAACGTTAAAGATCCCTTGGCGGTCTTAAATCGATAAGAGTAGGCTTCGGCCGCCACCCGTGCAAATATCAAAATTTCCAACCAACAGAAAAAGTTTATGGTGTCCCGCGCGCTCATATGACCTCATGCAGTTGCGAGCGCCTTAAAACACTTACAAAAAATACATACAGACCATCAACTCTGCCCCGCCCCCCTCCCCCCCACCCCGCTCCGCCATTTATTTTCTCCAAAGAATATCAAAATGATTATAACAAATTATAATATGTTCCACCTAGGTTACCAAGTGCTAGTCGTTTTGTCATTCTCGTATGTTTCCCTAGTTTGAGTCGAAAAAGGATTGTTTTGGCCAGCTTATATGACGTGTAAGTTCCTCAATTTGACATTCAGTAATTTATTTTGTTTTTGCTTGTTTTGTCTTGTTTTATTGTGTGGATTTTTTTAAAGCTTTTGAACGGCCTTGGTGTGTGTTAATGGCGGAAGGTTTGATTTCAGCTTCCAGTTTTAACAGGAAGAAGCAAACGAGAATGCTATAGTTTATAAAACACTGTCAAGCCTGAATGAAAAGGATTGTATAAGGAGTGGGGAGGGGGAGGGGGGAGGGGTAGTATTGGTGGTGGTGTCAATGTCTGAAAAATTATCATATTCTGCAATATGTGTTCTCAGTTCATGTACTTAAATTTCTTTGTGAGACTGTCAGTAGCTGTTCGTCTGTATGTGTTCGTGATATCCGAATCCAAATTCTGACGTCTATC